AATCCTCATACCCTCACGAGTCTAACCATACCAAAATTATCCAATTCCGATACCATTTGGTCCTTCAAATCATCATTTTACATTTTTAAAAGGTTCCACAATTTTCTTCCCAGATTTCATCTCAAATCACGAATTAAATGATGAATTCAGTGATAGATTCATGTATTCTTGCCAAATTTGAGTTAAAATCACTTACCCCGATGAATTTCTTGAAAAACCTTCGAAAAATCGCCAAAATCCGAGCTCTCTAGGTCAAAATATTAAATAAAACCCAAAACCTCGTATTTATAGGTACCCCTCAGGTTTCAGCTCATATATTCGCGGTCCGCGCAAGCCAAAATGCACGCGGTCCGCGCAAGCCAGTGCGGTCCGCACAAAGGCAACGTGCGGCCGCACAGGCCTCCCTTTGCAGTGACAGGCTTTAGTATTTTAGCCATAACTTTTGCTACAGATGTCCAAATTGGAATATCTTTACCTTTCTGGAAATTAGACACAAAGGACTACAACTTCAGTTTTTGAATCACCTCAATAATCCTTGTAAATTAAAAGATATGAGCTTCCGAAGTAGGACCAGCGGATCATTCCGCACCGCGGCCGCACACCACTTTGTGCGGTCCGCATGACACCTACCGCGGCCGCGCCAACTTTGTGCGGTCCGCACGGAACTCACCGCGGGCGCACTCATTTTTGTGCAGACTGCATGGTTGAATTCTGGGGCCTGCAACCCCTGTAGGCCTGCTACAGTTATGATTTTTGCACTAAAACATCCCGGAACCTACCCGGAACTCCCGGAACTTCAAACCAATTGTACCAACACATCTCATGACATCGTTCAAACTTGCTCAAAACTTCGGAACGCTCACAACAACATCAAATCACCAATTTAACATAGGATTCAGGCCTAAGAACTCCAAGAACTCTTAAATTATGCTTTCGATCAAAAGGTCTATCAAATATCATCCGAATGACCTGAAATTTTGCACACACATCCCAAATGACACAATGAAGCTACTGCAACTCTCGAAATTCCATTCCGACCCCTATATCAAAATCTCGCCTATCAACCGGAATTTGCCAAAATATCAATTTCGCCAATTCAATCCTAAATCTTCTCTACAACTCCAAAACCCATTCCGATCGCGCTCCTAAGTCACAAATCACCTCCCGAAGCTAACCGAACCCTCGAAACTTACTTCCGAGCCTTCTAACACATAAGTCAACATCCGGTTGACTTTTCCAACTTAAGCCTAAGTATCTAATTTCTTACCAAATCCTCCCCGAACTCGAACTAATCATCTCGATCACATAAAACACGGATAACGAAGCGTAAAGAAGCTGAAATGGGGAAAATGGAGCGGTAATCATGAGACGATTGACCGGGTCGTCACAACGCTATTAGTGCACGACACTTGAATCCAATATTTACAATGGTAAGTAAGCTTATTAGTTATCAAGCAGTACAATACATTCAGCACGAAAATTTTTAGTCCTTAAACTACATAAATAAATAAGCAGTACAATCTATACAAATATTATATCAACAAAACAATAAACCACAACACATTATGGTAGAAAACAATACATTATGGGAGACAACCATCCGAACAAAATGAAAAGGAACAACAAACAACAACGAAAACAAATCAATTTTTTCTTTCCTTTATTTAACTACCAACAACAGCAACAACAACAGCACTAGGGCATTGCTGGTTGCAGATTTGAGAATAATGACAATTCAATGCAGTTGGTTCACTTTCCTCAGGGGTGATAATTTATTCATCTTTATTCCTGTTTTTTGCTTTTAGCTGGGTCAGTATTGTGTTAGCAGCAGCTATGGACGTTTTGACCACATCTCCTCCTTTAGCAATCTCAGGATCTACAATTTTTGCTTCTTCAAGAGCCATTATACAGTTTCCTACATAATCACCAATAACCATAAAATCATAGTCATCTGTATCTTCTTGGTACCCTTTGTTTTTAGTAGTAGTCTCCAAAACTCTTTCGAAACCAGAGACCATATCAGCCCATTTTGTTTCACAAAAACCATATGCTGGATTTGCTAATTTCTTTTTCAGTACATAGTCATGTGTGATTTTTGCTTGCCCTATAAGATTTTTAATAATGGCCAATCCTAAGTCCAATTCTTTTGATGCTGCTGCTGTGACATGCTTATCAGCTTTCAAATGATCTAAACATAACTGTTTTGAGGTAGTGCCCGAGCAAGCTGTCATTATCAAGTCGTTGCTCTGCACCTGCACAGCAATGGACAAGATGAAGGACGAAATGAGGGTAACTAGAACCGATAATTTGTGCAAAGAAGCCATTTTTATAAAGTCGAAAGGCTTCTTTGTCTTTTTATTTATGCCTGAGTTTGGCTTGGAGTAATTTTATGCCTCTTTATAGATGAGTGGCGTAACAACCTGACCTTAGATATTCAGTGGTGAAGCATTAATATTGGGGTTTTTTTTTTTTGTATGGTTATGAACAAAAAGAACTAGAGATCAGCAGAAAACACAAAAAAAGTTGGTTGTTATCTCCTCTAAAAAAAGTACATTGCATTTTCTTTGGCAATTGGTACTAATTTCCACTAATAAAAGAAATTATCGAAAGGGGAAAAGGTAGAAAATTACCATAAATAAACCGCAAATAAACAAATATTGCAGAGGAAAAAATAAAGAATCTCAAAACGAAGAAATTAAGTTTGTGAATTGGATGTTGCCTTCATATTTAATAATTGGATACCAGACACCAGGGGTGTTCATCGGTCCGTACGGTATGATATTTAGATATTTCGGTTTGGTATTTTTAGTATTCGGTTTTTAAAATGCTATATCAATATGGTACCTAATTATATTCGGTATGGTTCGATTTTTTTCCTTTCGATTTCGATTTATTCGGTACGTTAACTTCGGTTTGTTAAGTTTCAATATTAACTAGTGCATAAAGCTATAAACTGTAATATTCTTAATTAAATTACACATAAATATAAAAATAAAAACGTTCTAAGCTCACATGAGTATTGACAAAAAATTTATCAAGAATAGAAAGTATCAACCTATAGAGAGAGAAAATGACATAAAAGAATAAATTTAATCACTGAAAATATTTTTACTTGCTTAGAGCTAATTCCTGAAGTTAGAGAATACAATAAGGACTACTCTAACATATGCAATTCAATAAACTAGGAGAAAATACTCTAATATCGTAAAAGTATTACGTTAAGATGCTTGGCATCCTTGAGAATAAGAGTCAAAGTCTACTGCCTAACTTGTTTCTCCATTTTCCTAAAGAACTATATGGGTTTTACTACTACTCTCAACGTGCATGCCAAAGAAACATATTATGTAACTTAGTATATTATAATCAATAATATGTGTAATGTGTAATTTATTATATATTTTGGTACGATATCGATACTCTGATATTATTTTAGTAAATATCAAATCACATACCTAATACCAAATGTTTTTACACACTTAAATGAAATATCAAAATATCGAATAGCAAATATCAAAATTTTCGATTACGGTACGATATTTTCGCATTTACCAAAATATGTACAGCCATACCAGACACAACAGATTACTCCTTACTAGGGGTGGGCATAAAATCCGAAAAATTGAATTCCGAACCGGACCGAATTAATTCGGTATTTCAGTTTCAGTTTTTTTTCGATATTTCAGTTCAATTCGGTATTGAATTTTCGGTATTTCCGTACAATGGTTCGGTCCTCGGTATTAGGATCTTGACAATTCGGTATACTGAAATACCGAAAATTTAAAAATCATGTAGAAGACTAGGAGTAGTAGACTTCCCAGTTCCCAGCCCAAGTGCTTAGTGCTAACCCAAAGGCCAATATTTTAATTTTTGGAGCCCAACCCAATAAGACCCAACCTAATAACCCAAAAGTCTTTCACTTGTCTTACCCTAAATCCTAACATTCCGAGAAACCTAAGAACTAAGAAGTAAGAATGAGTGAACGACTGAGAAACCTAAGAACGAATGAACGACTCCTTACTCAAAAACTCAGAGATCGGCTGTCCAGCGTCCGCTGTCACCACTCGCCTGTGAGATCGCCATATCGGTTGTCAACTCTTCAAATCAAGACTTCAACAGGTCTGGTTCATAATTTTCAATTTTTCATTCTTCAATCTTCATTTTTCTAATTTGTCTCGAGGAACTCTCATTTCATGATCTATCTTTTGAAGTTTAGATAGAACTAATATCCATTTTCTCGGATGCTCTGCGAATATATGCAGTAATAGTAGCAACAAAATCAAAATGGGGCCTAGGCATTTTTTTGCACTAATTTGTTCTGGAAATTTAACACGGAAAGAAGTATATGTGATTAGGCGTATAGCTAAGATTAGGCATATAACTTTTTGTCGAATGAATAACCATATATTTTGATTTTTGAAATGATGATGGATCTAGTGTCCGTGACTAGTAGGGGACAACTACCGTGAATATAAAAGATTTTGAGGTTGAGTTGATTTAAGTGAATTCTTATTTGGAAGACGAGGTATAGGATAAAGAGAAGAAGCTGGGTACCTGATTAAGTTAGTGAGAAAGTTGTACTCTAGTTAAAAAGGGTGTATAACTCTATATGATTTATTTTCCCTTAGGCCTTCATTTATAAGAGGTGTTGGAAGAATTTTTCTTAACCTAGTTAGTGAATCCAATTTCTTGAAAAATATGATCTGAACCTTATATGCTTCTTGAATGATATGATCTAAACCTTATATGCTACAAGTTAACAACAATGATTGAAAAGATTTTAGGAGTGTATGGTTCCTTATTCCCTGTATGCCTAGTTGGGATGGCATAACAAAAGAACCAGATCAAAAATACCTTGTATTTGTGAGGACTTCTGGTAAAATGTCTTAAACATCATGTCATATGAATGAACTTCAAATCTTAGAAATGAGTGAATCTTCTCACTTTTGGGCAATGGCTACTTCCTTTCTAGAATTCTGATTAGTTTCTTTTATTTGTACATTTCTGCTTTTTTAGGTTCAAGTGCAATCATGCTCCGTGCTCCTAAAGTACGCTCTGATATTTGGGATCTCTTTGAGGTGAAAGAAGATAACGGAGAAGTTCGCAAAGTAGAGTACAAGCATTGTGGTCAAGTATATAATGTTCATCCAAAGAGGAATGGAACATCTTTTTTAAGGAAGCATATTAGGCGTTGTCTTGAGCGTCTTCCTGGAGTCCATATTTAAGAATTAGAGTTTGCTACTACTATTAATTCTATTGTTTTTGTTACACTGCTGGTACTGTTAGAAGTTACAACACTAATTCTGCATTTCTGCTACTGTTAATTCTGCTTATTTCTGTTGCTAGTGCTATTGTTATTGCACTGTTTAATTCGGTTGTTAATACTGCTACAGTGGTGCTAGAATACTAAAATTTCCAGCCTTTTAAACTGCAGGCTGCTGTGAAAATGTTTAGGTTCAGTCGTTCAGGTGTAAACTGCTACTGTTATTGCACTGTTGAACTTCTTTTCTGCGAAAATGTTGTTAATGACTTAATGGTTTTTAATTTTGTCATTGATTTTTTTGTTTAGGTTCAGTCGTTTAGATACTTAATGGTTACAGATAATAAGTATGTCTTTTAAGATATTCTGATCATGTTACGCGAAGTTTTGAACACTCATAGTAACACTCATGTTCTGATTAGTGATAGGTCATATGCATGTCTTTAATACACTCCCAAAGTTTTGAACTAATGCTTGGCAGCAGTTCGATATTTTGAATTGCAACATTAAACCGAAATCGTACCGAACCAAAATAATAAATACCGAACCATATCGAAATAATTTGGTACGGTATTTGATATATACAATTGATAAATCGAATATCGAAATTCTTAAATACCGAACCGACCTACTCCTTACTACTATTAATAAGAGAGAATCGAGAGAAGCTTCTGGTAATAGTGAATTGACAAAAACCTCCGAGATTTCAGTTTACTCTCTTCCTGCTTTAAAGAGTGTTTTGGTAAAATCATCTGGCTTATCCTTTTTCATTTGTTATTATGCAACTGCTACTGTAGGTGAAATAGAGTAAAATTTTGCCTGTGATGACACGTGCTAACTTTGACTGTTCATGTTGTGTGTCAGCTTTTTACACCTAAAATAAAATGCTCAACTGTTTTAGCTTTGAGGGGTTGTTAGGTAAGCTGACTAAAGTATTTCGGAATTATATTATTTCAGGACTAGATTATACCATATAGGAGATGGGATAAAATAATCTCAAGTTTAATGGCATAAAGTGAAATAAGATAAGATATTTTGGATTAAGTTTAGGATTAAATTTATAGCGTGTTTAATTAGAAATATAAATTTATCTCAAGATAAATTTATACCACCAACCAAATACGGTATAAATTTAATCTCATATCTTATTCTTCGTACCAAACGACCTTTGAGGGTATTCATGAAATTGTTCTATTTTCATATGTTATATAATCAATGGTTATATTGAAATTGAACACTATAATTTAGAATTTTTTTTGAAGGGAAAAGATGCTTATATTAATAATAATAATATTAGCACGTACTAGGGTACGAGACCCATAGTAGTGCCGTTATTACATAGTTGTGCAATGCCATGTAAGGCAATGTCATTACCTAGTGCTGCTAGAGTGCTACATGCATTCATACTACATGATCTAACATAGATAGAACCTTCCAGATCCTTACAATAGGCATCTATTGCAAAGGCATGTGGTGATACAAAATAAAGAGTTTTATTATAACTAGGGTACTTTAGAGCTTCCTTTGCCAGATTGTGTGCCACCATGTTTCCTTCACGGAAGCTGTGCTTCATGATGATCTCTCCTTGCTGCACTGCCTTCTCCGTTAACCACCTGCATTCATGAATTAAATCATTGTAAGTAGGATAATCTTCTTCAAGAAATCGAATCACCTCTGTGGTATATGTTTCAACTTCACATGGGAAGATGTTTTCCTTGGTAATCATTTGAAGTGCATGCCGTAGTGCTAGGAGTTCAGCCTGGATAAGAGATGTTGTTTGATACTTCTCGTAGTAGCCCAGTATCCATTTCCCTTTGTTGTTACGTATTATTCCACTGATTCCTCCATGTGAGCAGCTATTGTTGAAGGCTCCATTAAAGTTGAGCTTGTGCCAGTTTCTTGGAGGGGGAGGGGGGGTGCCATTTTACCTTTACTATTATTGATATATTACTAGTAGTGGGCTTGGATGTTAGAAAGTGATATTCTAGTGCTTGTTGAAAGACCTTGGTTGTGTTAATAAGATTATTGGTGTTGTTCACATTATTTTATTTCTGTTTCTCCAAAATGCCCAGATTACAAATGGGAAAACTTCTTCCCATGTGATGAGATTGGTTGGTAAATTAGTGATTTTTTTTACGTAAAAAGTCTACCCAGTGATCATTATTCACTTGGTTATGTAAGGACACCCCCATTGTTTTCCAAAAATCTTGATCCACCTTGCATTCCCAGAAAATGTGTAGCAAGGACTCATTCCTATTTTTGCATATTGGACAGTTTATATCTATGTTGATACCAATTTTTCCTAGGTATTCTCTAGTAGGGAGGCGTGAGTGGTAACATTTCCACAAGAAAAATTGGATTTTCTTTGGACATTTTATGTCCCATACCCAATTAAATATATTAATATGATGAGATTGTGTGTCAATTAATTTGTAACACGATGAGGTTGTGAATATCCCACTAGGATTTATACTCCATATAAGGTTACTCGTGTGAGTAGGAATGGAAGTTGTGGATAAGGAGTGGATACTATTAGTTATATTTTGTGGGAGCTCAAAAGAGATGGGAGTTAGACCCCATCCATTGTTATTCTGGATGTCTTTTACCCTCAAACCATATTCATTATTTGTTAGAGGGAATATTAAGTTTTTCCTAAGGTTATCACATTTTGGGATCCAGTTTGTGTACCATATGGTCATGTTTAGATGATTGATCACTGGCCATCTTATACCTTGTTTACAAATGTTCCAACCCTTTAATACGCTTTTTCAAGTATTGGAGCCACTCTTAGTTGAACTAGTGTGTCCGTATAAGCTAATGAGAACACGAGCCCAGACAGAAGATGGGTCTGCAAGAATTCACCAAGATAGACCAGTCAGTAGGGATATATTCTTAGATTTTTCTTTTTTTAATCCCCAGCCCCCCTCATCTTTGGACAGAGTTACCATATTCCAACCAATTAGGTGCATTTTCTTCTTTTTACTTGTAGTTCCCCAGAGAAAATCTCTCTGCTGGATCTTATCAATTTCCTTTAGGGTCTTGCTAGGAAGTAGAGATAATTGCATTTGGTGATTTGGGATTGTGGTGATAGTAGATTTTATTAGGGTGCACCTCCGCCATAGTAAGACATTTTGCATTCCAGTTATTCAATCTTGTCCGCATTTTATAAATTATAGGTTGGTAGTCCTTATGCCTGGGTTGGTTTTTGAGCATGACAAAACCTAAGTAGGTGCCAAAATCTTTACTCATTTTTATGTCAAAAATAGTAGTAGCCTGGGTAATATTATCATTTGTGCAAGATTTAGACAGTAACAATTTGGATTTTTCTTTGTTTATATTAAGACCAGATAAGTAACAAAAATTTTTCCATACTATTCCACATAGTAGTGATAGTTTTGTTGTTTGCACGGCCCATTAAGGTTAGGTCATCTGCAAAGAACAAGTGAGACAGGGGTGAACCTTTTTTGTTCAAATAATTGGATCCCAATTAAGGGTGTCCACTTGATGCTCAATATTTTTGGACAACATATCCATGCATAAGATGAAGAGATAGGGAAACGTTGGGTTTCCTTGTCTAATTCCCCTAGTGGGATAGAATTCCTCCGTTTTATTCCCATTAACAAAGATAGAGATAGTACTTGTTGATATGCAATTAAGGATTAGGGAGGATATATTAGGAGGTAAGTTGTAAAATCTTAAGGTTATGTAGACGAATGACCACTCTAATTTGTCAAAAGCCTTTTCTAGATCAAGCTTAAGAATGCAGTTTCCTTTTCCTTTATGGTTGTTAAAACATTTTAACACCTCTTGAATAATGATAGCATTATCAGTGGCTCGTCTATTTTTGACAAAACTACTTTGTTGCTCACTAATAAGATGCTTGAGGAACGACTTGATGCGATTAGCAATCACTTTAGTGACCACTTTATACAAAGTGTTACAAAGGCTTATTGGCCTAAAGTTCTTTATTTGGTTTGCGTTATTGAATTTAGGGATCAAATATAAGTAGGTTTTATTAATATCATGAGGCATAACCTTTGTGTTAAAAATTTCCTAGCATAAGATAATGACCTTACTTCCTAGTATTGGCCAGAATTTTTTGAAGAAGAAGGGATGTAGACCATCCAGTCCAGGAGCCTTACATGGTTTGAAAGAGAAAATAGCTTTCCTAATCTAATGGTTTTTTAGTTTAATATCAAGGCTGGACAGGTCAATTTTCTTTTAGGTAGTGTTATCCATTTTAATGGCTTTCCAATTAGTGTGTTCGTGAGATGTAGTAAAAATAGTTTGGAAGATGTGTTACCGTTACATTATTGAATTCTTGCAACCATTCTGAATTAGAGTAAGCCCTGTCTAACCTTTTCATAATTAGACCCCCTTCCTCTTACGATGGTTGGACCATGTATATTTACACCCTGTAAACCCTAGATCTACAAGGTTACAATAGTTTAGGCAGTTTATTAGGCTTTTGGCCCTTTTTGGTTAATAGGCCTGCCCCCAAACTTATTCTCTGAATCGGTTATTTTATTAAAGTCCCCCGTAATTAGCCAAGGTCCCTTATACCTATAAAATAATATTTTAAGGTTCTCCCACAACAAGTGTCTATAGGCTAAGTCATTGCTAGCATAAACAGTAGAAAATAACAAGGTAAGGTTTTTAGGTTTTACCTTTATCATTGCATGAATTGATTGACCATTCCTAGTGAAGTTGTTGACCGTCACCACCTCATTGTTCCAAATAATAACCAATCCTCTAGAATTACCTATGGCAGGCTATGTGAGTTTCCAATTTTAGGTAATTCTAGAGGATTGGTTATTCTAGGATGGATATGTGAGTTTCCATTTTTGTTTCAACCAAAGCAACTAAACAAGGCGTATGTGTGTCCATAAGCTCACGAAAGTGCCTCTTAAAATTTTTATTGTTTTCTCCTCTAACGTTCCAAATAATGATATTATTGGGTTGATGCATGGGATTCATATTTGGTGGGATGTTGTTGGGGCTCCTCCTTAGAGAGGGAACCAGTATCACCATATTCTTCCCCAATGTGGGATCGTGAAGAGGGCAGATATCCAAGGAGCATTTGTAAAGTGTCGTTGGGCAACTGAAGATAGACTTCCTGTCTAGCATTTCCTTAAAGATGAGTATTTTTACCTCGCTTAGGCTTGAAAAAGCCACTGCCGGCTCCCCTAAGTGTGCTAAGTCGTCCTCTTCCTCCTCTTCTTCCTCCTGATTCCCTTTTTGATTCTGCATGTTTTGTGTTAGTGCTTGATC